TGTGTGTGTGTGTGTGTGTGTGTGTGGGATTGTGGTAGTGGTGTGGAACAATAAGGGGGGGAATTTTATTAGTGAGATGCAAGAGTCAACCTATATTCATAATTAAGAATATCCCTCTAAAGACTTTCTACTAGGGTCTTTTCTTTTGTTCTTTTCTTATTTATTTATTTATTTTTTTTAATATTTTTATTTTGATTACATGGCGCAGGCGTAGAGTTGCAGCGGGCCCGCATACCGAGTATTGATTGTGGTCACCGTTTTCAAGTGACCGGAGAGAACTGAACCGACTAGCTCAACCTAGGCCAGACCGGTTTCGCTCGGTTCTGCCGACCAGCTTCAAGCTCGATTTTCCCGTTTCGATCAGTCTTTTCTTGAAGGGGTCTTTCTTTTTTCGTTTCGAAGGGAAAACGATGAACACCCAGGTATGCCAAGTTGAAAAAGGGAAAAAGGGGGGGTGTTACAAGAAAGGAGATTCTAAAAGATCTTGTTGCTTTTGCACACAGTTGCCCACCATAATTTTTTTATTTCCACTTTTTTTCCAATCCAAAAAGACAGCAAGATTTGAAGTAAATCCTCACACATTTTATCATGTTATGGATGATCTTGCCATTTAAGGAATATCCCAATATTTTTTTTGTACAACTTTAGGTTGTAATCCACTATCAAATATTTGTTTAGATTTGGTTATCTGAATATGGTGAGTTAGTAATGAACTCCTATCATTGGTTATCTGAGAACAGAATGTAGGGGCATCTGAATTTGGTGAGGGCTAGGATCCTTCCCGTTTGCTATGAAGCGGATTAGGATCCTTCCCGTTTGCTATGAAGCCAACAGTTGGTTTTATAATGGAGTCAATTTTCTATACACAGCAAATAAAACATACCATATTAATAAAATTATACTACCTTCTGTTCATTATAAATGTCGTTTTGACTTTTTTGATTCATCCATTTTGTTATGTATCTAGACATAATCTATTTTGTTATGTATCTAGACATATTATCTATTTTGTTATGTATCTAGACATTAATATGTCTAGATACATAACAATTAATGTCTAGATACATAACAAAATGGATGAATCAAAAAAGTCAAAACGACATTTATAATGAATAAGAGGGAGTATTAGAGTTATCTAAATAATCAGAGAATATGGTAGGTTTACTTGTTATACTCCCTCCGTTTCAAATTATAAGTCGTTTTGATTTTTTTTATTCATCCATTTTGCTATGTATCTAGACATATTATTATCTAGATTAAAAGTCAAAACGACTTATAATTTAAAACGGATAGAGTATATAGAAGGTTGTCTCTTCTATGGAGGCAACTATTGACTCCATAACAAAACCGAGGATCCTTCTATGTATTTTTCAGTTGGCATGATAATAATAATAATAATAATAATAATAGTGCAGATGGCGGCCTATCTATAGGCTAGGAAAAGTTGAAGGGCCACAGCTCCAAAGTCTGCTCTTGGCCTAAATGCTGACAGTTTTTTCCTATCATATGGACCAACAAGAATATGATTCTTTTTAATTTCGATTGACTGCTAGCAAACACGTTTCAATATTTGATAAGGAATAAGCTCAAATTACCATCTTCACCTCACTTACTGCCTTTTCAAGTCAACCTCATAATTAATACGAAAAAGTAATATATTATGGTAATGGTTCGTTTCAACTAGCGCTGCAAATGAGCCTGAGCCGAGTCGAGCAGTAGCTTTATCCAGTTGGATTGATTTTGTTTTTTTAGCGGCTCGAGCTCGAGCTCTACTCGATAAGAAAATACAATAACTCGAGCTCGGCTCGAGTTGGTCTCGAAAATTTGTTAAGTAAAATTACCATTAAACACTTGTGTTATATTATTTAAAATATACATAAGGGGTATTTTAGTACTTAAATATATATCGAGCCGCTCGACGAGCCGCTCGACAATACAAATATGGGCTCGAGCTCGAGTCGAGCTTTGACTCGAGCGAGCCGCTCGACTCGTTTGCAACCCTAGTTTCAACTCAATTAGGCATCATCCACCCAACAGACTAGGGTGGGCTCCAGCCTTGTCTTAGTTTTTTCGGTTATGTTAGCTGTATACTGATAAAAAGAATATTTTAGCCCATGTTACATTATACTAGTCCAATATTAATCTTATTTTGGCCCAAAATAAATTAAACTTGTTTATATTAAATCAATGAACTATATATTTAAACATGAATTAAGTCAGAAATGCTCCCCTACCCGAGCACATGTTAATATGCCCACCGCGTAGGTGACATGCATTCATTGGTGATGTATTTTTTAAAACATATTAAC